TGGGTCATCTTCCTTTTTTACCTTCATCAACCATCAATTTGTAAGCTCCTCTTATGGATTTCCGAACCTTCTTGTAAGTTGTCATTTTCACAGTTAACACCCCTTTATTTGACAACTTAGTTTGCTCCTTACATTTCCATATTTATTTCCAGAATGGTTGTACAGTTTTGTCACTTTGCGTTTGCTTTTAGTTTTCTTTATCATTAGTGTGTTTGTACATCTGTCCTTAGGTGCTTACTTGCTCTTCAAATTCTTGTTGTTGTTTTCAGATTAGCTTTAGCTTGAGCAAAGCATTGACTTTTTATAATTTTAGCATTGTGTTTTGAATACTACATAGCAAATTTGATGCTGAGCAACTTGTATTTACAGGAATTATGGGTTTGTTCGAAGTTAGAACCTTTTTTTTAAATCTAATTTTGCCTTCAAAATCTGTATTGCTGCGGATCAACTGTTGGCCAGTTATATCCAGGATTTCAAGCATCTCAGATGCAATGGGAGAAACATGATGGTAAGTTCCTCTTTTCTAAAAGTAAATTATTTGTCTTGCCTTCTATACTTCCCCGGATATTCAAGGATCTCTTGGTTATCGGTCATATTCATAGCTGCCAAATTATTCGGACTGCCAATATAGACTTGTCGGTTGGCAAAACCGATAAGTTTGTGTTTGACAATAATGGAAATGTATACTTGGAAAGAGGAGATGGGGTTGCTTGGGCCACAAACACTACCGGAGAAAACGCTACATCCCTGGAATTGCTAGATTCGGGTAACTTGGTGCTTCATGGGGCTGATAGAATAATGATTTGGCAAAGTTTTAGCTACCCCAGTGATACACTTTTATCCGGCCAGGAGTTTGTGGTTGGAATGAGACTAAAAAGTTTTCCCGCAAATAATATGAGCGATTATCTTGAATTTCGATCTGGGGATTTGGTCTTGTACACAGGATTCCAGACTCCACAAACTTATGGTCTTTGTCGGGCGAAATGCAGGAAACCTATAAGAATTTCACCGGAAAGGAGTATTCTGCTGCAGTTTTAGTTTCCAACTCTCAGAATAAAAAGTTGATATGTCAGTTTAACTTCTCTCAGAATTCTGATATGAATGTCACATGGGCTGCCAGATTAGGAGATGGAGCAGTAATGTTCTATAATCTAAGCCAGAAAGGTAAAGCAATTGCTGAGGCAAAAAAGATACCACAAAACCCCTGCAACATTCCTGTTACTTGTTCCCCGATAATGGTGTGCTATTTTGACACATTGTGCCAATGTCCAAAACCTCTCACCACTCCAAAAGGCTGCAGCTCACCAATATTCTCTACTTGTGATTCGGCAGATCTACTACGTTGGTCGGAAGCTTGATTATTCTGTACTTAAGTTTGTCAAACCCAATATGAGCTCCAGTATAGATACTTGCAAGAAAGCTTGCTTGGGAAACTGCTCTTGCAGTGCACTTTTCTTTTAAAACAGTACCGGGAATTGCTATTTGTTTGACCGAGTTGGAAGTCTGAAGCATGCTGAGCAGCATTCTAGAGGTTTTGTTTCATTTGTTAAGGTCTCGAGGAATGAGAATGGCTGGAAAAGTCCTGCTAATGGTGGGCATTTATATTTGTTGTGATATAGCAACAGCAACGGTTCTAGTTATTGCTGGTCTTCTTTTGTGGGATTCTATTACTACCGTAAAAAGAAGAGATTTCCGGAATCTGCTGAAGAGAAGTTGGAGGATGACAATTTACTGGAGTGTTTCCGGGGATGCCTGTTCGTTATACTTATCGTGAACTTTGTAAGGCAACTAAAAACTTCTCTAAAAGGGTTGGCCAAGGCGGATTTGGTTCGTCTACCAAGGTGAGATGCCGGATGGTACCCAATTGGCTGTTAAAAAATTGGAGAGCATTGGACAAGGGAAAAAGGAGTTTAGGGTTGAAGTTAGAATCATTGGAAGCATCCATCATGTGCACCTTGTCACGCTCAAAGGCTTCTGCTCTGAGGGTGATCACCGTCTTCTGTTTACGAGTTCATGGGCAAAAAATCTCTAGATAAATGGATATTCAAGAATAATGAAGAAAGTGCATTTTGGATTGGAATACAAGATTCAATATTGCACTGGGTACTGCAAAGGGATTGGCTTATCTTCATGAGGAATGCGAATTCAAGATTGTGCATTGTGATATAAAACCTGAAACGTTCTTCTTGATGATAATTTCAATGCCAAAGTTTCAGATTTCGGCTTGGCTAAGCTTATTAGCCGTGAAGAAAGCCTGGTATATACAACACTGAGAGGTACAAGGGGATACCTTGCACCCGAATGGATTACCAACAACCCTATATCAGAGAAGAGTGACGTATACAGCTATGGTATGGTCTTGTTCGAGATAATCGGGGGTAGGAAGAGTTATGATCCGGAAGAAATTCCCGAGAAAGTCATTTACCTTCTTTTGCCTTGAAGATGTTGAAAGAAGGAAATCTGAAAGAAGTCCTTGATCCTATGCTAGATTCGATGAAACGATGAAAGCTTTGTTTCTGCTATAAAAGTTGCAGTATGGTGCATACAAGAAGATTTCCCTTTAAGACCACCGATGACTAAAGTAGTTCAAATGCTCCAAGTCTCTGTCATTTACCCAACCACCAATCTCTTCGGTCCAGGCATTTTAAATGGAGCAGTGACGAGGGTACAACATCAGGAACTACAGATTACAATAGTGATGCATGGTTGTCAGACATTAGACTATCAGGTCCAAGTGATTCAAGCCATTGTTATAGTTAGATACTTGAACATGTGTCGATGGAAGCATAAAATTGTGCAGTTTTGGTTCCGGTTCATCGATTCAGTTGCCTTAAAGGTTGTATGTCGGTCGTTATAAGCTTGGTTACATTACGTTTTCACTGTGGCCAGAAGTATACCGGATGAAGATGACATCCAACCAACCACTCGTGTAATAATTGTCCACTCTCGAACCCTATTAATTTCAAAACCTCTTATCTTTCCATGCAAGTTGCAAGACAGCAGCCCTTGTTCTTTTTTCCAGAGCAGCAGCACTTTTCTCTCAAGGAATCGTTTTGCTGGGATCCCAGTTACTTGCCCTCTAAGAAAAATCATGTAACAGATATCATGTGAGATAATCATCTCAGAAGAATCTGGACCGCTAATTTATCAAGCATGTGTCAGTTTATTGACTTTTTTGTTTTCTTTTTCTGCAATCTATTGTGTTTAGTCCTTCCCCTTTAGTTATGTAGTGTTACAGTGTCAAAATCCAGGTTGATTACGAAGGCTCAATATACATTAGCTCTTGAATTTGATAACTTTTTCTTAATTTATTATTTCAGTCTTTTTAAGATTTAGGATTAAAGTTTTGATTAGAAAAGATCAATAAAATTTCAAATTTTGATACGATTGAATTGAGTTATTTGATTTTTTTTATTCGAATCAAGTTGAATACGTTTGAATAAAGTGAATAACAAATTTCTATTATACAAATAAATCCCTCGGCAAAATTTGGAAAAAATCCTCAATAATTCAAGAAAATTTTACATTATTTTTTCCAAGAACTTTTAAAAAAATCTTTCAAAGATTTATAAAAAAAAGTTAAATGATAAATTTGACAACCTTAAACAAATAGAATACCAAAGCAAGTTTATCATACTAAAATATTTTAACGTATATTATTTTCACTCCATTCGAACATATTTAATTAATTCAAATTTCATTTTACACAACATTAAAGCCCAAATTGGGGAAAATAAACAAGGTAGAATTGTGGAGATGTATGTTTTTAATAGTTTAGAGTGATTGTAAAAAATATTATATTGTTTATAATTTTTTAATAATAATAGTGTAAATATATTCTTAGACGCATATGCTTAAACCCAAAAATGATATTTTAAATTGAATCTGATTTTTTTTAAGAAAAACAATATTTTGGTAGAGCACAAGGCTTTTAACCTTGTGGTCGTGGGATCAAGTCTCACTGAGAGCAATTCATACGGAGGTCTTCCACGGAAGCTGCTCTCAACCTGACGTTGGAGGCAGCCTACTACCCTACCTCCCCTTTACCCCATTACATATGGGAATAGAGTCGGCTAATTTTTATTTATGTTATACGGCTTTGCTTTCATCTCCGGATAGGTGATTCTAAGTTGTAACAATCAAAACTTGAACACGAAAGCTCACTCTTTGCTGTCAGGTGGCATTTTTTATTTTAACACGCGGTCCATTGTATTATTTTGTGAACATCATGCATCCACCTCAAATTTTCACTTCCATAACTCCAAATATCTATTAATCTGTGGAACAGATTGTCCAAAAAGGAATATTACAATCATTTGAGGCTTTAAAATACAAAATCACTGCAAAAACAGATTATTCATCTTTACTATCATAGAGAGAACCAAAACCCGTTTCATGAAACGCCCTCATTCATGACCTTGATAAATAACCCACCAAATGCATGATTTTATGTTAGGGTTTAGGGTTTATCAATAAAAGACGAAATTTAAAAGACGAAAATAGACCATCAATAAAAAAAAATATAAGAAAGTTTCTAACATATGAAAATTTAAAAACAGACAAGTGCACCCGAACGCTTTTCCCTCGATCCATCATTGGCACCAATACTAATCAATCCTAATCTACTCGGTGATGTAATAGAAGAGTATGGCGATGTATTATAAGTTTTAAGGATAAACTATATCAATGATCATTACCGATTGGTTAAATTTTTAAAAGATAAATTACATTACAATTGTTAACATTATCCATTTATAACTAAATAAACACTCTGTCGTAGTTCCTGTCAGCTTACTCTCTACTTCAAGTATCACTTTTATCTTCATTTTAGAAGGTAAAAGAATAATCTTGAAATTGATTCACTACAACATTACATGAAAATGTTTCCCTAGAATAACATAGAAAACAAAGTAGAAGTTGTTTTATCTATATATGAATTTTCTTCATGTGTAGCGAGTACTAATCTATCTCACATATGTATATACAGAATCAAATATATAACTAGATTATCTTCTAAATCGAGATCCTTTAGTAGGTTTACCGGGATTCCTTCCATCCCATGCAGAGTACCAGAAGAACAAAGACAACCAGAAAAGAACAGAAAAGAAGATCCGTGCACGATCCTTAAATCTATATAACTTTCCCACTAGCCCTGTTCCATGGAAAGATGGACCATAAGAACACCGCAACTGGCTGCCTTCAAAGCTGTTTCAATGGAATCTTGACTTCAAATGCAATAAGAAAACAACATACAGGAAAATTCAACTAGTTACTTGCAGAGGAAAGTATAAGGGTCTTTAACACACTCCTATTGCATTAACTTGCCAAAAGACAAATATGAGCGGAAAATATCCAAAGTCCAAAACTTTCCAGAATTATTCACAACAACAAATTAATCCCAGTCCAAACGCATGAATATAGTTACCAATTTTTTTCAAAAAGAAATGCGAAACTGGTGGAAACCTGGGGGGTCCGAGTCAGGCGGAGAAGGTGGACGGGGGGCGGCTGAGATACAACGTGGGCCGCGCGTTGTGGAATTGGGACGAAGGCGGAAGGGGAGTGAGTGACGGAGGGGATGGAATTTCGGGGGGAAGATCGAAGCTTGAAGTGAATCGGAATTCAAAGTTCTGGAAATGGAATAAGTGAAGAAATTATGGTGGCGTGAAGCAGAGAAAATGGTGAGCATTTCCATTCGTGGTTTCTATTTCACCAAATCACGCGTAAACCGATAAAAGTAGCCATTTTATAGTAGCGGGCTTCCCATATTTACATTTTCATTTTTCGAATCTTAAATTGGGCCTAGAAATTTAATGCTATTGTTTGTAGATAAAATTCGGGTTTTCACATTTTTTTATCAAACATATTAAAAAATAAATTATTCAAATTTAAATTTCAATAAATTAATTTTTTTAATAGTTTATCAAACATAGCCTCAGTTTTCTTTATGGAGTTTTTATATGCGTCGGTAACAACTCACGTCTTTTTAATTCTATCTGATGTGTGTTGTTTTAATTTATATTTATAGCCGAAACTTCATAGAGGTTAAGAAGAGTGTTGGTTATTGTCAAAATTTTTTTAAAGTATTAATTAATATTGAAAATATATATTTAAAAATAAAAAAATTTACCCGACTCCCTTCAATTAAAAAAATTTATATTTATGAAAAATAAAAACATATTTTAACCCTGTCTTAATAAATTTATGGTTCCGCTCCTATTTGTATTGATCCAATATCTCAAGTTAAAATTGTATTAATGGTTATGGTTTTACCATAGTTGACTGTGGTGATTTGAAGGAAAGAGAGAAAGAGATTAATAATGGGCTGAGATCGAATATTCTCCTATTCAGTTTTGTTTGACAGGTATATATTTCTATGATACCAGGCAGTAAAGTGATTGATGATTATTGTTGGGTTGACAGATGAGTAATAGGGCCAGGGGAGTTTATTGAGGTTTTGATTTTATTTTATTTTTTGTTAAATTTATATATTTGATATAATTTTGATCTAATAGTATTTTGGTTAATGTAAAAATAAATATTTAAATTAAAAATGTAAGAACTTGTTAGATATTTAATCAAATAAATACCGAATTAAAGAAGGATAATCTCGTGTTCGTAAAATTTCTAGTCTAATAATAATTTAGGTCATTGTAAGTTTAAATATTAAACAAATTAGGTATTATCTTGTGAATTTTGAATTTTTTTATATAAAACTATGGTGAATACAAGGTAATATATGTATAAAGGCTCTCAACTATTAACAATGAACGCTCATACTTGTACATATGCAGTGCTCAAACTCGATACCTCAAGGATAACGATAATCCCTTAATCACTACAATCGTTTGGTTAGTGCTGAATTTTGAGTTTAAATACCTAATAAGTTTTTATATTTTTTAAAATAGTCCGATATTTCGTCACCTGACAATATTTAATTCTAACTCCGTCTCTAAATACGACTGTCTGATAATAGATTTAACTGATGATGGATTACCGTGATCATGTCAAAAGATTATAATAAAATGGAAATAATGTTGGATTACATTCAAATGAGTCATGACACATCTTGAGAAAACTCCGAAGGGCTCAAACCCCTTGTACTTGTACGGAAGAGTGACAATAGAGAACAAACTGAAGACTTTGTTCATGTCTGGTTTGATAGATTTCCGTCTATGTTAACTAATCAACTCTACTGACATGCAATGCAAACCGTCACTTAAGCAGTCTATGTTAGGGTAAGCACGACGTACTTTCCGCCCACTTTGAACGAAAAGAAAGAGCCGAGACGTAGAGATCAGTCTTTTCTCGCTACAGATTTGCATGAAGTTTGTTTTCAGAAGTAAGAACACGCCAGGAACGTACTACTCTACAATGATCAGATAGATTCTACATTTAAACTAAAGTTTTCTCATTCTTAGCAAACTGAAAATTACCATAACCACCATTATCTTCCCTCGCTCTCAAATGGCAATTAAAAGAACATAAGATTATCCTAGTATATACAATAGCAGTCCTATATATATATATCAAGGGATTATGTTGTAGTATATATTTAACTTGAAAGGTCTGTGCATTGTGGATGGTGATACGATCAAGGTTGAAAGAGCGCATCCCCACATTTGCATTTCCACGCCAGGAGATAATAGCTTTCATCTTCATCGCCACGATACGTTACTTTTTCGAAGTTTTTCTTCCATTTGTGTGTAGGAATGACAAGAGTAGCCATGCAAGGCCTGCAACTCAAGCACTTGTTCACACAACTGGGAGGCTTTGACCCCAACACCGTTTCACTCTGCTGCAACCCACCTGAGTTCACTGCAAAACCTAAGCTACACATTGGAATATGAGTCAAAATAAAACAAAATAGCTGAAAGTAAATAACCCCAAATAGTTTTTGAACTTTATTACCTGATGGCATCAGAAATATTGTAATGATCAAAGTCACGGTGATAGTAACTTTGAGGCCATTGGGGCAGACTCTTGATGAAGCGGCCATCAGTGCTTGCTTAATGTGACCAAGTGTTGTCTGTGAGGAAGGGATATTGTTTTGAAGAGGATGGAGGGGTGTATATATATATGTTTGAAATAATTTCGAAGTTGTCTGCCTGTAGAAAAGGAGACATGTCTGGGCAGATGGCTTGTTCACCAATTAAAAGCTTTTCTTCATTGAAAAAAAGCAAGGAAATTGTTTCTCTTTGTACTTCTTGGAAACTGGTGCACTTGACTTTAAACGCTTCAACGACTTCAGATCATTGTTTTTGATGACCTTCCTTTCTTGACTTGACCCTCCGTTATCATCTCACCCGACAGGGAAATATTATGTGTAGATGGAGATATATTATGTTACTAATATTACCCCGGTTAACATTTTGTTATTTAATGGTTTCATTGTTCATTTCTATAAAGAGATGGACGAATGAATTTATATTGGGCGTAAACTTAAAAAGATATGTTAAATCGTAAAGGCGTAAAATTATAAAATTTTGAGAAATATTAAATAAGATAATTAATAAAAAGTTCTTAAAATATATATAAAAAATAAATTTTTTAAAGATACGACTGTCTCTTACTCGTATTTTACTTGTGACAGTGAGCCAACAGGAACGAGGAAGCTGCTTTAATCTGGGAACTAGCCTTTATTGTATTGTCAAGAGTACGTATATCAATATCAAAGTTTCTCTCGGAACAAAAAATATATACATCGAAGTTTCTCGGGGCTTCAGAAACCTCCTGTTTGTACTAGAAACCAGCATCATACCCATGCCTTATCCCATACCTTTTTCTTTTTGAAAAAAAAAAATCAACTGTCTCTGCTAGGGTGAATGGGATCTATGCAGTTCCATAAATATCAAGATTTAAATTTCATCAACAGTCTAATTTATTAATATATAATTAAATAAGAAAATAATTTTGAAAATTAGAGTAATTAAACTATGAGTAATTTGAAAGCTAAGTAATTAAATTAAAAAAATTAAACTTAGATAATCAAAATAGGAGTTAAAAGATAGTTGAGTGGTGAATAATGTAATTTACCCAAATAAAAGTGTAACATACAACAATTCCAAGATACCAAAACGAAACAAAAAAATAACATTAAATATGATTTTAAAAAACAAAAATCTAAATATAAAAAACTAAATCACAAAAATAATAATTTAGATATTAAACATATAATTTATCCTTATTTATTTTAGTCTTGTCTGAATTATAGTACGATCATTATAGACTTATAGTTTCTGATGTCGCTATAATATATCGTCATTTAAAATAGAGAGATATTTTTATGCAGGGGTTTATTTGCAGGGATTACTTCACATTACAGACGTGCATATGAGGACTGCATATGAAGATTGTTCAACTACGTATTTTATTTATTTATTTAAGCATGCATTACATTTTATCTTTATTATTAATTTTTTGACTGGCCGGAGGTCTTCCACGGAAGCTGCTCTCAACCTGGCGTTGGTGGACAACCTACTACCCTACCTCCTCCTTACCCCATTGCATATGGGAATAGGGTTTCGTTGTTGTTGTTGTTGTTATATGAAAGCAAATCCATTTATCTGGTTTTATTTGAATACCAACTCTCAAACCTTGTCAAGGATAGTGGTGCAGCGCACCCAACCATTGAGGACAAGAGAAGAGCCAGTAACCCATTTTGCCAATTTTACATCTTTATCATTTCCCAACTCATTTAGATTCCACTAACATACGTGTGGAATTGCCCATACCCAAAATACTTTGATCAAATCGAATTGAGTTAAATTGTAAAATAAAATAATTTACTTGAAACTAATTTGAAATATTTTTATCATGTGAACAAAATTATGATGTTAAAAATATTTGTTCTTGTTATTATTTTGTAACTAAATTATAGTAAAAATTACATCAGTTAAAAATCAATATCAAATATTAAGCATAAAGATCTTTGTATGTGATGATTTTACGGGTTGGAAGTATGCCGGTTATCTTCTTCGATCAAAAAATCAAAACTAGGCACCATATTAACATTGCAATAACCTTATTTGCTATTTTTATTTTCCATTTTTCGTCTTCCGAGCTCAGCTACTATCAAGTTCATGTCCTCAAACTGGTTTTTTTTATCATCATCCATATCGACATATCCATTGTCGATGATTGCATGCTCTTTCGGGAGCTGTGGGCATGATTATTCGAATCATATTTTTGGGAGGTTAGGTAATTCAAAGCCATAATCATATCAGAGATGGATCGAGAGTGTTAACGGGATGATCTCTTTCTTAAAATTTTAAATTATCGTACAATTTAAAAAGTATGTACTTTTTTATTGATAATTTGTTATCTAACGTGGATGTGGGATCCTGGAATATAAATGGTTGTGCTTGTTTGCTAGCTTTACCATCCTTGGAAATCTCATCATTCAAAGTAGTCTGATGTGATTATAAAGTAATATTTATTTAGAACATTTATTAGCCATTGATAACGTGCATACACCCTATAGACACAACTACTAAAACATATGACATCTAAGGAGAATAACACTCTATTTTATATAAAGATTAAATAGTTCTTCAAACTTTTTATAAAAAAAATCTATCATTTCAATCTTTTTGAAAAAATTATTTAAACCCCTATATATTTCATCGTTTCAATTTTCATATACACTACCATAATAACAACACAGTTTATTACGTTAACGTCGTGAATCATCCCAACAAAATTATAATGATTAATAATAATTTTTGTTGATAAAAAGTTGTACTAATTATATTTTAAATTTATAGACTACATTAAATATATGAATGTTTGAAAATCATTACTTTTTTTTTCTTTTTGAAAAAGCATGACATAACCACTTGTATGCGCTACCAAAAGTTATTTTCAGATGGATATTATAAATTGGAATGGTAAGGTGAAAACAATGATGGGTTGCTACCATCACTGAGAATATATATTAGGGAAGACAATGTAAAATATTTTTCTCCATTCTCTTGTGCCAATAAGGGGGAGTTTGATTGGGGGAATGTGTCCCATGGGAATGAAATCCACATTCCCCCGTTTGGTTAGTATGAAATCTCATTCCCGGTAATGTAAGATTATTAATAGTGGATTTTTTGTCGTATATTACTCAGAATGTCATTACCTCCATTTCCTTAGGTATTGTTAGATTACTGGCGTTTTGGACTAAAATACCCTTAATTTTTTTTCAAAAAATATTCTTTTTCTGTCATTGAATAATAAAAATTCTACGAATATTGAATTACAAATTTATCCTTAAACTATTTTAAATTTACAAAAAAAAATCTATAATTAAAATTTTATATGAAGTTCAGGGGTTAAAATAAAATTTCACCCTTTCATTAAATCTTTTTATATTTTCAATTTTGTAAAAAAAATATATAAATTTTATGAATTTAAATTTTTTAAAGAAAATATATAAATATTTTCCAACTTGTTAAAAATATATATATATATAATAAGGACAATTTGGTAAAATATACATTCCAATAATCTTTTATTTCTTTAACCGAACATGGTAATCTTACATTCCTGCTAAACCAACCAAACACAAAATACAACATTCCCAGTAATTCTATTCCCTGGTAATCTTACATTCCCACTAGTAATATTATATTTCGTGAATCAAACGCACCCTAAGGGTGTGTTTGGTTGGGGGAATGTGAGATTCCCATGGGAATGGAATCCACGTTCCCGGTAATCTTACATTACAATAGTAGATTTTTGGGGTATATTACCATGATGTCATCACTTCTCTTTCCTTAGGTATTGTTGGATTATCGGCGTTTTGGACTAAAATGCCCTTAATTTTTTTTTCAAAATATCTTATTCTGTCATTGAATAATAAAAATTCTATGAAGGTTAAATTATAAATTTATCCTTAAACTATTTTAAATTTACAAAAAAAAAGTTTATAATTAAAATTTTATATAATGTTCAGGGGTTAAAATTTTATAAAATTTTACCCTTTCATTAAACCTTTTTATATTTGCAATTTTGTAAAAAAATTATATAATTTTATGAATTTAAATTTTTTAAAGAAAATATATAAATATTTTCCAACTAGTTAAAAAAAAAATATAATAAGGACAATTTGGTCAAATATACATTTCAATAATCTTTTATTACTTTAACCAAACACGGTAATCTTACATTCTTGCTAAACCAACCAAACACAAAATACAACATTCTAAGTAATCATATTTCCTAGTAATCTTACATTCCGTGAACTAAACATACCCTAAGGATCAAGTACTAACCCAACATGTAAAAGAAAAAGGTATTTTAAAATACCTCGTTTACATAGTTGAATGATGATGATGATTTTCTGTATTGATTTCTTTAGCCTACCGGCACTCGAACCTTGTCAGACTAAACTTGAGCCACCAAGCACTTAGCCACCGAAAACAAGGGAAGTGTCGGTGAAATTGTGTATCTACTTCTTTTTATCATTATTTCCGACACATTTAGATTTCTCTATGGGAAAGATCCAATAGCCTTTAAAATAATAATAAAAAATGGCCCCAACCCAACACCGGAAACAACAATATCTTGGATAAAGTATACAAATGGTCCCCGAGTATAGGATGTTATTTTTTTGAGTCCCTTAACTATTAAAAATTACAAAATAAACTCTCAATTATTCACATTTTCAAAATCATAATTTTCTGTTAAAAAATTAACGTCTATCTGAACTAGAAGTTAACATATTAACTGAGATATAATAAAATCATATTTTAATAATGTACACTAGCACAATCATTGCTTTCAAGCATTGATTCAACGACATAATGTAAATAGAGATTTGATCCATGAAATACAACTAAAACAATTCTTGGATCATATTTTTATCATATCTCAGCCAACATGTTAATGTCATCTCAGACAGTTGCCTATTTTTTAACGAAAAATGATGAGTTCGGAACATGTG